TATTTAAATTAGTAATATAATTTAACAATTAAAAACTATTCTGCCTATAGATAGTACAGTACTTTACTATAATAAAACATATATATTTATGTTAATTTAAGTCTAGCTCCTCATGCAGTGTTACAACAGAATGATGATTTGTTGATTTTTCCATTGGATGTTTGAAGATTTTATGTGAAGAGCCATGCAATTGTTAAAGCTATATTTCATCCAAAATTACTTCATATTTAATCTCATAGCACCCATTTTTTACAAATGTTCTGGGGGCATGCTCCCAGACCCCATTAACATTAGCATGCTTTGTATACTGAATGTGCTTCGCACAATATGTGTTTGCCCCCACCCCCCAGTGGCTCAGCTGTATGTCTACGGACTTACAACGCTAGAAACCAGGTTTCGATACCTGTGGTGGGCAGAGCACAGATAGCCCATTGTGTAGCTTTGTGCTTAACTATAAACAAACAAACAATATGTGTTGGCTTTTGATCTCACAAATTAGAAACCCCTTTTCAAAGATTTTGCGTACGGGTCTATAAATACCATATGTAATATATCATACATTTTGGTACATCATTAAATGCTTTAAAGTAAGGTATTTTTATGTACATAATTACACTTAAAATGCAAGGACCTCTTGAAGTTTGTAAAAACCATAATTATTCTTCCATTGTCATTTTCAAACGGCTTGATTTACAGTCATAATATTTGGCATACAGCTTCTTTGTGAATACGTCTGTGATTTAAATATAACAGAACTGATATGTTACCAAGTTTTAATATTTAGTTTTACAAAATATCATATTTTAAATATCGTAATTTGTGGAATACAATGCTTTAGTAAAGACATTCATGGTCTACGGTATCGATAAATAATAGCAGATGGAAACTCGAGTGTATATAAAACAATAATAGAGAAGTGTAGCTGTGGTAGGCAGATAGGAAACCTTTTCACCAATCATGTAGTTAAATGCTACACCAAAGCACTTTACGAAATTTCAAAAATCTAATTCCAAAAATAGAGATTTCTAAGCAAGCCCAAGAGAGAAAGACTCAAGATATGTGCCAGAGGAATTATCAGAAGAAAACAAAGAAAGGGAATGCATCTGAACAGTTGAAACAGCAGCTATGAAACGGCCATTACCATGTCTTTGATCATCATACAAAATGTTAACCAACATTTTGCGAAAATGCCAATTATTCAAGACATAGTACATTTTACAATTTCCACGACTGACACTCGCAAAGATCATGGATGCTGTAGATTATCTAGTCAGGAAAACAGATAATATAGTTTTTGACAGCATTACCAACTTTGTAGAAAGTTATATGCATTTGGTTGCTAAGTTTTTGTAGATGTAACTTGCCTCAGAATACATGAACTGTTGTACTAGTATAGTATAGGGTATGCATTGTGTTTTGTTTTACTAATACACCAGTGTTAGAAAAGGAAACCAAAGGTGAATCAAATTATACAGAGGGACTTTTCAGATGTAAGGGAAGAGGTCATTTTTATTTCTACAAAGTAAACTATCAACTTTTCACTATATTTATTTATTTTCTGCAAAATGTCATGACAACCTAAGATAAACTTTTATAAAACTATTATGTGACCTTGTTTAGGTGTTATCGCACATAAACGTGTCAATACCAAACTGGTTTATCTTGTAGAGGAAGTGTATAAAGTATACTGACTTGGATAAAGTTTTCAGCTTTTCTTTCAAATACAGAGAACAATCGTAATCCCATTTCATGTTTTTAATAAAAATGGCTCTCTCTCTTTCACATTTTTAATAAAAATGGCTCTCTCTCTTTCACATTTTTAATAACAATGGCTCTCTCTCTTTTATATTTTTAATAACAATGGCTCTCTCTCTTTCACATTTTTAATAACAATGGCTCTCTCTCTTTCACATTTTTAATAACAATGGCTCTCTCTCTTTCACATTTTTAATAACAATGGCTCTCTCTCTCTTTTATATTTTTAATAACAATGGCTCTCTCTCTTTCACATTTTTAATAACAATGGCTCTCTCTCTTTTTGTTGGTTACCATTTCAGAAAATGAGATGTTTCAGCGGCAGATGCAAAAAAGATTTTATAATGACTGATCGAAGTTATAATTGCGTTTGATGTTGAGTAACATCAATAGTTAAGCTAAACAAAAGGCTATGATAAAGCAATTACTATGGGTCGAACAAGGTAATGAATGGATGTACATGAAAGTTATGTAAAGTCAAAGAACTTTCAAAATCATATGGTAAAAACTAAAAAGACTCGTCAGAGGGATATACATATATGCAAATTTTTGTATACAAACTAATAACACAAGTGTAATCGTTATATGATATTTATCATATAATTATTTTGATAACGATGGCAACGATAAATGTAACGTATAGCTGTAACAGTATCATCTGGTTCCCTTCTTCATACTGCAATTCAGAATTGTCAAAATAACCAGAAGGTTTATGATGACCAATTACAAAAAGAGTATTATTTCAACTTTTTTTCGGATGAATAGAAAACCGTCTTGTGGCAAGATAATTCCATATCCCCTTCGCACACTTTCATTTACACGTCATTTTATATGTTGCACAAATATATACTAAAAACTAGGAGTTGCATGCGATTAACAGTTGTCAACTAAACACAATAGCCTGTTTGTTACCATTGGATATTTGGTTTATTAATACAACCAATAGTATTTACACATTCTTAGATGACCAAATATTATTTACACAATTATTAACGTCACATTATAATGAAAAAGTGATTTTTAACTGACCAATTACGGAAGTTCTCTTGTGTGCTTCGACCTAGAACTAATTTCATTGGTTACAATACACCAGATTTGCATTGGAAGATGGCTACTGAAAACTCCGCCTATCTTTCGTTTTTAAACAAATGAAATTACTAGCCAGAGGGGGAATTTAAATGCATTACTATTGCATTGCTACCCTCTTAATTTTGAGGTTATTACTAGAGCTGGGTGAGTCATACCCTCAAAAATTTCTAAAAAGGTCGGTCTACTGTTAGGTCGTAGAATAACATTATAATTTCATTTATTGATAGCATTAAGTACGGTAAAGTTTAGTCTTTACTAAACTAAAGCAAAAAAACGTGCACAAGTTACAGTGTTATCAAATATAGATCATACTTAGTAAAGGATTAATTAATGTTGGGTCCAAGACAAATGGACTTATTATTTCGGCGTTTGCAATTAGAATTCGTTTGTATTATTCTAGTTCTGTATTTAAAGAACTGCCATTGGAATAAAGATACTAATTTGACCGTAAATGTTTTTCGGGTCTCTGCTAATATCAGCAGTATTCCTCACTAGTAAGCAACATATTGGTGGCATTCCTGTTTAGTAACAACATATTAACAGTATTCTTCAGCCCTAAGCAAAATGATAGCAGTGTCCTCTTTGAATGTTTATGAGATCTTGCTCCAACAATTAAGCGATTTTGATTTTTATGTGCGGTTTTCTCCAGCAGTAAGTAACTACCTTTAGAATATTTCATGTTATATTAGTCCTAAAACTATATTAGATATGTGTATGTGAAGAATTTTGTTTTAGTTATGTTTAATGTATGTATATGTCATATTATTATTGACTGTTTGAGTGACTTACAAAAGAATGCTCGAAGATACTGGAAGCTATTGACTGTACCAGTGCTGGGATCAATGGATGAGTGTGTAAAAAATACGACTGTTTTTATTTGAGTTTATTCACACTTAGCTTTCCGTAACTCGTACGAAACATATGTATTATTTTCAACGTAAACGGCCCATATCCAGGTTAGAGACCCCATATGGTTCTGACATAACCATCTCTTTTTGTACCTACTGACAAAATGGAGGGCAACCAGCTAGCGCAATAATAAAGAGGACATTCAGAGTGACCTTTACGACTCAAAGCACCACCAAATGCAATGAAATTCATTTCATGCAGTATGTATCAAGAATAAAGAAAAAATAATATACATTACATTTCTTAAATAGTTAAAATTTACCTCATATATCATATTAACAGTAATATATCGCTTTGTCTCATTACTCTTATATATTTGCCTTTTTTTTCCAAAAAGTTAAGATATCAAGATCTAAATAAAATTACTTTTTATAATCACCTTATTTGCATATGCAAAATATGTTTTGTACACAACAGAACCCTCTCTTGACAAAATATATAAACGCCCACCACTTTGTTTCAATTGACCAGAAATTAGTGTCAAAAATTCCATTCTTCTATATATTCCAATGAGATATTACATTTACACGTCCGGCATTTTGTTATTCTTGACCCAATTGTCACAATATTGGTGTTAAAAATTCCATTTTTTTTCTATCTATTTCAATGAGATGCTTCTGGAATACTAATTCTTGGTTACAAATCTTGCCAGTTCTCCTTTCGATGTTTAGGAAAAAAATCTTTCTAGCTGTCATAGAAATTTACTTATTTAAGAATAAAAATATAATAAGCTGTAAAGAGATAATTAAATTGAAACTTTGATGAATTGGAGAAACAAAAGTGTTAACTAATACAGTAGATGTTACAACAACGTATGGCTTGTACCCAATGGTAGCGTAGTTTACGTATCATCTATGCTTATTTATTAATATCTGAACTAATCAGCATAAGTAATCCTAGCCCCCCAATGGCACAGCGGTATGTCTGTTGACTTACAACGCTAGAAATCGGGTTTCGATACTCGTGGTGGGCAGAGCACAGCTAGCCTATTGTGTAGCTGTGTGCTTAATTACAAACCAACAAATAAGTAGTCCTAATAATTTGCAAGACTAATTACAGTGACAGTTTTTAAAACGTATTCGTATTTCGTCCTTAATGTTTAATAAATAAATCAAAAATAGAATCCCTAGCTGAAGAATAATTTTTGCAGTTGTTTTTTAAACTTACGTCCATATGATGATCCGAACTTGGAAATTATATACAAAATTCTTACCTTCCGGTCTCGGCTGATTAACATGATACCTGCTTATTTCTTTCCTGGTATTCTGTATGGGTGGTAACGCTGTAAAACCAGATACAAAATAAGCCAACCTCGGTGATTTAAAGCTGAACTCTTGAAAACACTGTTTTGTGTATATGAACAATTAACAAATGAAATAAGCATTGGTACCATAAATAGTAGCATTTTATATATTTGATCGATATCTTATTGGTTGGTACCATAAGCAGTAACATTTTACATATCTGGTGGACATCTCATTGGTTGGTACCACATGTAATAACATTTTACGCATTTGATGGACACCTCATTGGTTGGTACCACAAGAAGTAACATTTTACGCATTTCATGGACACCCCATTGGTTGGTATAACATAAGTAGTAACAATTTGTAAATTTGATTGACATCTCACTGGTTGGTACCGTAAGTAGTAACATTTTACACATTTTATGGGCTTTACTGACTTCACCAGCGACATTTAATCTTGAATGCCCATAAATGGATAAAATATCTTAAAGCAATTATTAAATAATTTAAAATCTATAAATGAACAGGTGTCTGTTATTATTTTGTATAAGGAGCACTGAACCAACATTGTAGTGGTTGTAGCTCTCATATAGATCATGCACCTATATTTCTAAAATATTTAAACTCCTGTCACCCCCAAATTAATTTTACTTGTGAAACTAAGAGCAACTGTAGTCTGTCTTTCTTTAAAATCCTTACAAACCCCGATGCTAACGGTTTTTCCACGTCTACTTACTGCAAGAAAACCTACAATGACCTCTATCCCGTTTTTCCAGTTTCTCTCCCTCTAACTAAAAACGTAACCTGATCACTTGTTAACTCACAAGA